TTTTCTATTAGGAACAAGACTCTGGTCTATTGCACAGTCCCTAGGCATTAGATCCACTTTGACTTGTATACAAGGTGAGATAGAGGATAAATTTCATTAACCTACATATGGATTTCCAGTTTTCACAGCACCATTTGTTGGAAAGGTTATATTTTCCTCAATGTATGATTATGGTACCTTTGTCTAGTACGAGATAACTGCATCTATGTGGGCTTGTCTCTGTGCCTTCCATTCCTTTCCATTAGTCTTCATCTCTGTCTTGATGACAATACCATGCTATTTTGTTACTATAGCTCTGTGGTATATTTTAAGGCCTGCTATTATGATGCCCCCTGCTTTGCTTCTTGCATGGAGGATTGCTTTAGCTATTCTGAGCCTCTTGTTCGTCCAGATGAGCTTCATAGCTGCTTTTTCTATGTCTATTAAGACATCATTGGAATTTTAATAGGAATTGTATTCAATCTGTAGGGCTTTCGGTAGTATGGCCATTTTGACAAGATTAATTCTGCATACCCAAGAACATGCGTGAGGTTTCCATCTTCTAAGATCTTCAATTTTTTTCTTTCATGTTCTGTAGTTGTCATTGTAGAGGTCTTTCACCACTTTTGTTCGACTGATTCCCAAATATTTTTTGAGGCTTTTGTGAATGGGATAGCTTTTCTAATTTCTTTTTTCACTTGACTCATCATTAATGTGGAAGAATACAGTTGATTTAAGTACTTTTTATTTTCCCCCTGATTCCTTCTGCTAGTCATTGGACATTCAATATCAGTCACCAGGTGTTAGAGTAGCTTCTGCTTTATCATTGATTTGTAATTTCATTCCATTATGATCTGACATACTGCAAGGTATTGTCTCTATTTTTCTGTATTTGCTAAAACAGTCTTTGTGGCCTAAGATTTGGTCTATTTTAGAGAAGGATGTGTACTTGTGAAGAGAATGTGTTCAGTGATTTATGGATAAAGTGTTCTATATATGTCTAATAAATCTAAATTATTAATTTTCCTTTTTAGTTCTATAGTCTCCTTTAGTTTTTGTTTGGAGATCAATCCAGGGGTGAAAGAGGCATGTTAAAGTACCTAGTATTATTGTTGTGATCTATTGGAGTATTGAAATTGGAAAGGGTTTTTAATGAATGTAGATGCTCCATAATGTGAGGTATAAATATTTAGGATTTTTTTTTTTGATGTATGATTCTCTTAAGCAGTATGAAATAAACTTATTTGCCCCTTCTGATTGACTTTTCCTTGAATCCCTTCATGTGATATGAGAACAGAAACCCCTGCTTACTGAAAAATCCATGTGAATGATATGCTTCTTCTTACCTTTTTACCTCCAGTCTATGGATGTCTTTGCCTATGTGAGTCTCTTAAGAACAGCACATTGTTGCATCTTGTTTTTAACCAAATCAGACAGTCTATATCTTTTGATTGAGGCCATTTACATTCAATGGTATCAAGAAATCATTTTTATTGCCTGTCACTATTTTCCTGTTTTAACTTGAATGTTTCTCCTTTGATTGATATTCTTCTAGCACAGTCCTTCCCTTTGCCACTTTTTAATCTTATTTTTCCATTTCTTCTTCATGAAGCATTTTACTGAATATGTTTTGTCATACAGGCTTTCTGGTTGTGAATTCTATCATTTTATCATGGAAGGTTTTTATTTCACTATCAATTCTAAAATTTAATTTTTGCCTTAGCTGGCATCCATTTCCTATCAGAAATTGGTAAATGTTATTCCAAGACATGGTACCTTTAAGGATCTAGATTAAAAAATCAGCTGAGAGATGAACTGGCATACCTCTAAATGTGACCTGTTTTTTTCTGAAGGGGGTTTAAAATGTATCCATATGGTGTACATTAGGCATTTTCATAATAATGTGCCTTGGTGTGCTTCTGTTTTGTATATTTTGTATATTTTGGCTCTTCTATGCCTTTTTTATTTGATTTTCCATTTGATCCTTGGAGATTGAGAAAATTTCAGATTATTTGATTGAAAACATTGTATATTCTTTTCATTAGTATCTGTGATGATTCATGAATCCCAATAAATCTTACATTTAATCTTTTCATGTTCTCCCATATTTCTTGGAAGTTCGTCGTAGTCTTAACATCTTTTCTCCAGGGTCAACTTTATTTTCAAAATTTTATAGTTTGTCTTTTTTGCATGAAACTATCTTCCAAATGGCCTATTCTGCTGGTGATGCTTTCTATTGAATTTTTAGTTTGATTTATTGATTCCATAATTTTGAGAATTTCCTCGTGTTTTTAGAATATCTATATCTTTATTGAAGTGATATTTTCACTTCCTATGTTTTCTCTGATTTCACTCTTTACATTGTCCTTTACCTCACAGATCAGTTTAACTATGAACATTCTAAACTCCTTGTCTGACATTTCTTCCACTCTGATATTGAAGAATTCTGCTATTATAATGTTATGCTTTGGGAAAGTTTGTCCCATGCCTTTTCATATTGTTTGAGTCTCTACCATCGAACAGTACGGATCTGGGGCAGTTGAGTTTCTACACTGTGGACTTAAGAGTGTCCCAGAAGGTTTCCAGTACCACATAGTTTACAGGAAGACAAATAATAACAACCACTGCAAACAATATATAGCACTAAACCAAATATTTACTGCTATAACATATAGAATGCTAACTGTCACAATAAACAGAAGTTATGTAATCAGTTGTTACCAACATTAAAAGTAGTTAAGTTTGCAAAAAGGTTTAAAATTTCAAGTGGTGAACAGGGAGGAAAAACTGAAAAAAATGTGCAATGGAGTGAGTAGGAGGGAGGAGAGAAAGTAGAGAAAAGGAGAGAAAGTAGAAATTAAAAAGTAAAGATGAAAGAGAACAATAGTTTGTGAGCAGAAGAAAGGAGTCTCAATGGAAATAAGTAGAGAAAAATATGTAAAACAGAAATAGAAACAAATTAAAACTAAAGGAACACAAAACAAAACTGAAATAACTAAGCAAACATCTTAACCCTCAAAATACTTAACAATGAAAAATGACTGCCTTCTGAAATTGCTACAAGAAAGTGAGACAACTATGTGTATGTAAAGTGTCAATGAAACACTCAGGTCACATTAAACAGAAAAGAAAAAAAATTAAAAATACTTCAGTGGAATCAAAGAATTATTTCCATTGTAGTTCAAAAAAGTCTTGGCTTTCCTTCTCTGCAGTGTTGGGTGGGGTGAGCTGTAGTATGATCTTTGTTCCACAGACAAGGTAGGGTCACGGGAATATGAGAGTAGATCACGAAGGCAGAGACCCTGAAGGTGGACTTTAGACTGAGGTAGAATCTATGTTCTTTTTCAAATGCTGATTAATCTGAGGTTCTTAAAATCAGTTCACCTCCAGGACTCCAACAGTTGCTAGTCCATGATAGGGGACTGCATCCTAGAAATATACCATTGGATCTATTTGTATGGCTAAGGAGCTAATCCTTTCTCCCCTCTACACCCACTGGTCCCATGTTTTCGGGGCTCTCAGGTTGGGTCTCCAAATTTAATCACTCCCACATCTGCCCTTCTGAATTCCTGGCCAGATGAATCTCCCCCAGCTGGTCCTGTGAGCTGCTGGACTCAAGGAACAGGGAGAGTTGGGTAGGAGTCCAAAACTTATACATATAAATATAGACTGTTATGGTTTAGATACAAGTTGTCTCCGAACTCTCATGTGAGACACTGTGAAAATGTTCAGAGGTAAATGATTCTAAAACTTAATTTTGCAGGGTATATTATCCTTCGCTGGCATCCTGTATTACCCTGTGTAAAGGCTTCTTCACATCTGATTTTGTTCTGGTCACTTAGGTACACTCTGTTATGCATGTGGGCTTTCCAGACCTATATTTTAGGCCTATGTTGGGTTTGCCTGGAATTGGCTCCCCCAGGTGACAGCCTCCATGGCACAGCTACAAAATGAATTATGTCACTGTCCTCTGCAGAAAGCTGGAGGGATGTGGCATCTTTTCTGCACTAGGATATGGTGCAGCATACCTTTCAAGCTAGTCTAGGAGAGATTATGCTCTCTAATCTCTCTGTACCCAGACATGTCAATTCTGTCAATGCTCTTATCCCTCCAATTTTCTCAGAGGTTCTACTTCAGCTGGTGCTGGGAATTGTTTCCTTATTTTATTGCATCCAACTTCCTGGGTCCTCCACCTTTTGAATGGCCAGTATTAATTCCCAGTAATATTCCTTGTATTCATACACCTTGCAGAGAAACTACCTTTCTTGGTCTCATGCACGGAGCAACCAAAACAATTACCTTCTCTATTCTGACATCTGGAAATCTCCCCTCAAATATGATAATTCTGATATAAATTATGAAAATCATGTTTTCTCCAGTTTTTAAAAGTGAGAGCATTTGGTAATGTTTGATTTAAACTACACTAATATGCTTTCAGTGTGGAACCTTATCTGCACTACACTGTTTCTGTATTTCATTGCTTCTACCCCAATATAATAAAGTTTAATAAATCTTAAGCAAAACTTAAAACTTAATTATCTTTTCCTTTATTAAAGTAATTTTCCTCAATAGCCTTCACATGCACCCCGATATGTGGTATAGATAAGAACTTTAGTATAATTCTTATATTTGAAATGGATTTTTCTAGAGTACATGTTTTCTGTTATCTAAAGAATATATTCTGAAACAATGTCATTCCATATTAGCTTCCAAGAATGAGGCTTCATATTTTGAATAAATTTTGAAAACTGATTAAAGTTTTAGACACATTACTTATATTTTTAGGGTTTCTACAAAACTATAAATTCTCCAGATTTTAGTAATGGTTGAACCATGGCTAAAAGCTTTAAT